CTCCACTCCTCACACGTGTGGGGTTGGAGATGGTATTGGAAATCTTAACTCGTTGTGTGCGAGTGCCCAAATAAGAGGATATAAAATTCAAAAGTTTGCCACCTATTCCGAAAGAGGACAATTTCAAGAGAAGAAGAGCATTGTCAACACGGTCAAAAGGCTTAGTGAAATCGAAATATACTGTGTAAAGAGCAAAACCATGGTCCCCAGATTGGAGAACATAGTCAAAGAAAGAGAGTTGACAGGTGCCACAAGATCGAGCTTTGAGGAATCCATGCTGAGCAGCACTCAGTAAGTTATTCGCTGTTAAGTGACACATCATCTTATCCTTGATCAATGTCTCTAAGATCTTCGAAACTGCAGGGAGGGTGTTTATTGGCCGAAAGTCGTCAAATGATGTAGATTGGCCATGCTTAGGAATGGGCAAAATGTGTGATTCCTTCCAAAAGGTAGGGTAAGTTTCACTTTCAAGAGCAAGATTAAATATCTTGCATAAGAGGGATGGGAAGATCGTGTTTGCATCGGCTTTTAAAATGCTTACTTGGACACCATCAGGGCCTGGACTATAAGATTGACGAAAACGCCGAATCGCAACAGTCACATCCCACAGCGTGAAACTTATAGTTTCTAGAACTGCCCCGGTTAATGACTGGATGGTCGGAAGCGGAGTGGTCGAGTCTTCAATAAACGTTTTGGACAGAAAATCATTGAAGCTATCCGCGGTTAACTGGGCATCAACTATGGGATTTCCGAGATCGTCTCGAAGGATGGGATACTGGGTCTTTCTCTGAGTTCGTATTTTTCTAGAGAAAAGTTTCGAGACACTTAGCGAATGGTTTTCAGTAAAGTGGACATCTTCGGCTAGCTGTTTTTCTTCAGACAATCTCTTAGCTCGATCAAAAATATCACAAATCAAGGGCAGAACAGAAACATCGTTCTGCAGATGGAAACGACGATAAAGCCTGCGCAATCTGCGACGAAAGGTTAAAGGTAGGAAAATATCATCACCAACATTAATAATTTTCTTATGGGGGACAAAACGAGAAATAAGCGGACCCAAAATTTCGTACAGTTTTGCAGTGCAAACATTTACATCCGAACTAAGGAAGAAATCAGTCCAGTCGTAGGAATAAAGGTGTGTTAATAATTCGGTTGAGCGAGTTGATCGAAAATCGCGGAAAAAGTTATACTTTTAGTGGTAGATTAAGTGGTAACTCTTATTTATATCATTAGAAACCCCTGTTTTTAATTGGTTTCTATATCCATCGCTATCCTTCCCCCCATAGCGACAATTTTCGCGGATTTGATGTCATCTCCCGCATTCCGACCTCATGCGGTCTGTCGACGCTCACGGCGGAACCCTCAGTATTCACTGTCTACTAGTAGTTCGGTCGTACCTCCCTTCCTCACTGCTCGGCTGAGCTCGAAGCGTGCTGTGGCCGATCGCATCTGGGTTCCTCTCGTCTGGCCTCTTTGACGCGGCGTACCAATCCGGCCCAGACGATCTCAATTGTGAATCCCGTATACAATGCCATTTGCAAGCCAGTCCTGTCTGACCCACATTCGTACCCATCAAGGCGCACATTTATTGATACCCTGACGTTGACCGAAAACATTCCGTTATATACCGCCACCTATAGGCCAGTCCTGCTCGCTTTTTTCTGTTACTATTTTTAAAGAGGGGTTTTTTCTCCTGAATAATTAATCCAATCATTTTTAACTTTTTCCGAGGAGTTTTTTTTACCCCTCAATCATCATGTTTCTCAATGGACTTCTAATTCATAAACTATGAATTGCATTTTGTAAAGATTCAGCCCACCTCGTCTAAAACTCGCATGCAACTTTATTTTAACTTGCTTTGATGGGACCCCGACGGGTCTTTAATAAAAATTATTTATCTATCTATTTTGGGACGACATTTCGTCAGCTTCTAATTCCGACGTTGAAACAACTATGTCATGGTCTGAGCCCCCGAGTGGGCCTAGGGTTGACACTGACGATGGCAAGCAGCCTCTACAGAAAATTAAGTCAAGTATACTTGAGCCTCGGGTGGGAAAATCAACAACCTGATTCCACATCCCGACATCCACAGCCTCAAGAAAGTCATCGAACCTTCTGGGGCCTGAAGGCGGAGACCAGCGGACTTCAGGGAGATTAAAGTCACCCGCAACCAATTGATACTTAAAGCTTAAGTCGGCCGCAGCATGAAGTGCCTGTGAGAGTAAACGATCAAACTTGTCGTTGGCGTTGGGAGGGCGATAGACGCAGCCAACGAGTAAGGAGAACCTATTTTTAGTGCAATCTGGAGCCAGCAGCTGCCTTCTACTGCTGAAAAGTGCGGGAGGTCCAACGGCAAAAATGTAAGTGTTTGCTAAACGTAGACGCAGCTGCCCCCACCACGGCTATCTTGGCGATCATTTCGAATGCAATTGTAGCCTAAAAGAGATAGTTCGGAGTCAGCTACTGAGGCTGATGCCCACGTCTCAGTTACTAAAACAATATCAGGACAATGGACGGAAACCTGAGTCTGAAGCAAAGGCATCTTATTAAGCAAGGATCTGGCATTTAAAACAAAAAGTTTGAAGGGAAAGGCTGTTAGTTTTTGAAGGAGGTGGTTTACATCGTCCAGTTCTGGGTCGCCCACGGAGCAAACGGTCCGGATGCAACCATCCGGTTCTGCAAAAAATTTTGTGGCATCAAAAAATTGTGACGTGGATAAAAAGGGGTAGGACTTGGGGGAGGGAATGACGGGCAGGTAAACTGGTAACTATTGTTAGCTAACTTATTTTCAGCTGGAAATCCGCGGGGCAGATACTGCAACGTATTCCCGCCGGGACAAAACTGAGGATCGGATGAATTAACTGATTCAGTTTGGACATTATCATGAGGAATAAATTGGTAAAGCGGCCGTGGAGGAAACAAGTTAGAGGGTGGGGGACGCATTGTTTCCATTGGAACAAGAGGTCTATTAAACGGTGGGAAAATCGGCATATTCGGCCTAACTGCCTTGATATGAGGGCTGGGGGGCAGTTGCGAACCCGCTACGTTTTGTGTCGGGGTATTTAAGGCACTGTTCGCCGATTGTGTAGGAAAACATTTTATACTGGTGCTGGATTTATTGGGTGTCCGAGTGGCTCAGACAGCAATTGGATTTGCCTTTGACTTAGGCACATGCTTAGGCTTACTAGGGGTTGCTGAGGGAGTCGATAGAGGCGTGTTTATACCAGGCGTGGTGGTGTGTTTAAAGAGGTCAGCATTAAAAGTAGTCGAACTCCCTACGGAATTGACTATGCCGTGACTTGCAGATGCCTCAGATGGTGTTGGAGAGGACATATTCAGACTGACAGTAGGTGTCATTATCTTGGTGTTTGAACACTTATTTGAACAGTAATCGGGATTAGAAAAGAAAGATTTATGATGATGGGCTTAAATGCGTTTTCTTATTGTCTTAGAATTATGCACCTGTCACTTATGTGTTGGGACTTAATTAGTAATCTCATAGTGTTAAAGGATTTCCAGAGACCACATGGATATGAGAAGGAGTATAAATGACTGTCAAATTAGAAAATCATTTCTTTTACAATTGAATACTATCGAAAAATTGGGAGTTTCCTTCGGATGGACCTTATGATACCTCGGCAACAGTGATCTAGGGGAACCGTTAACAGTCATTGTTTTCTAAACCTGAGATAATGCTGGCAGAAAAGCGGACTTAAATGAGCCTTGAACTTAAAATATGCAGAATTCCTTGATCGTTGACACCAGGATTTAGCATTTCCTGGTCGCCAAACGATGCCTAAATGCTCAGCCACGAAAGACGATGAAACATGCGATGAATGCCAGATGAACAGGTTTTGTAACCAAAGAGCATATAGTTTTCAGATAGAAAATCTCATTTTCTGTCGAGATGTACCACTTTTTCATTATACAGGACGCCGCTCATCTTTAATTGCGTTCAAAATGATTCATTATATCAGCATGTAAGCACATTTAATGTAAATTATTTCAAGCACACTTGCTGCAGTTAAAGTACCCGGAGTTAGTAGTGGAGTCCACTGGAATTGCCGGGGAAAATGCGGTGACGACTCACGCCAAATATGGAGAGATGGTTCCCTCGCAGATCAAAAATTAGCGAGATATGTTCATGTATTTGGCCTTTCGGAAACATTGTCATGAATGTGATATAAATGTATCAAGAAAGCTACAAAAAAGTGCAAAGAAATAACCAAACCTTCCTTCAAGAACAAGAGCAGGCTTTTACTGGACTGCAATTCAGGCGGAATGAGCAACCCACCTCTTGCTAGCCGCCTCAGTTAGATATTCGGTTTTTGTGTTTTCGTAGGTCCTGGGCTATTACTCTCTCTTCTCTGGGATGGAAACGTCTCCAGAAACAACCGTAGATATACATCTACTACAAAGAGGCCTTCGCTCTAAGGCTTTTTGGCCACTTAAATGTGGTGGCAAGGAAATCTTTCCATTTCGAAAAATTAACGTTGTCGTTGTTGAGGCCCACAATGATGTAGACTCTAGTTATCATAATCAGTGAACACTCAGGCTCTTACTCACATATACCGGGCAATTGGATCAAAAAAGATCCCCTTCATGGGACTGAAGTTGTTGCACTTCGACTCCCACCCAGACATGTGCATTCCACCCGTTTTATCGTCCGTTGTCAAGTCAGATCCCGTCGAATTGCTGGAGTTTGTCGATTTCCGGTGTTAATCCATATTTATACAGGAAAGTTGAAATCCAAAGCTGGATAATGCCGAGTGTGTTTGCCGGCCATATTGACCATGTAGTGTGGTTGCATCCCGAATGGTCGAAACAGTTAAATAATCGGCGGTCTGCCACCTATTCCATTGGCACTGTACGCGATACCCAACTGTTGAGGTAACGTTTTTCTCCTGTTTTTGGAGTACGCTTTTATCTTTTGACAGTCATTAATCGAGACATCGCCGCTTTTCCCAGTGTTTTATGAAACACTCCTCCTTTCCACTTTTTTGTCGTTTCTGGGCTATCACATACGAGCGGTTAATTACTAATGGAGGATATTGTACAGCCGAGTCAATGATTCAATGATTATCAACAGTCTTATGTAGCATTCGCACACAGCTACTTTTGTGACAAAATGGATGGTTACTATGGTAGCTTAAGACCTGACGAGTGTTGGTAGCTTTCCCATTTACCATCTCCCTCAGGCCCCCGTTTACATTACGATGAAGCAGGACGTCTAGGAATGATGTTTGGCTATTGCCATCTACTTCCATCATGAATTACATACCAGGAAAAACAAAGTTCAGGAGCGCGTGGACTTTAAGACAATTTCTCACTTTAGAGCAATGGAAGTATTGTCTACTTACCATGCCAGGAATGTTGATGTGTAAGTTGCTAACACGAATACCTCTAACCTTTAGTGAGTCGCATCAACAACGGGACCAGATAACGGTTATATCATCGTTGTACCCTTGATTCGTTCGTACACGGTCCTTTCGGAGGTAAAATATGTTTTGAGGCAGTACTCCAGCATTTGCACGACGTGTCCCCGTTTAAACGTCTTGTTTGTCTTGGTATATTAACCATAAAGATAATCGGCAACAGCTTTAACGACCGTGCTCTGCGAAGTCAAGGTGAAGGGTGAGAGTCACATCGAATGACACCATGACCTCGTCCGTGTTGAATTGTAGTTCATTCTATCTTCCCAAAAATCGGCAGATGAGCAGACCGTCATATCGGAGCCCGGGATCAGGCAGTTCAGACGTCGTGACAATCATTTGGCTAGGTCGATTAGGGGTGTCCCGCGTAAAGACACGATGGGACGAGGTGGAGCACCGTCTTTGTGACTTTAGGTAGCCCTATAGTGTCACAAGCGCGTGTACGTCTTCGCTTCTCGCAACAACGTCGCACTGAGTCATGCAATAAATGCTCACCAGCTGTCGGTACATGTGTCCACAGCCACAAGGGCAGTCAATCACGGGCGCCTAAAAACTTAGCCACCACCTAGTCAGCTGGCCAAGCCGACGCCAATCGAACCTCACACAAAACCTAGCAGGCCTAGAATGTTGACTATATGAAGTCGAATATGGTTAATTGCTGTCAACACTACTTATGGAAGGCTCCAAAAACAAAGGTCCCTTAACAAGTTCCCATCTCGATAGCCTCAGCGAACTTCGTAATAACGAATACATTTTGCTAATCAGGCCAGATAAGAGCTCACGATTTGTACTGATGTATAGAAAAGAGTACGTTGCAAAACTGAATGCAATCTTGTCGGGTCGTACCCAATTCTCGAAGTCCGAGAAAGACAGGGACCGTAACGAGGCCGTTGAAGGTCAGCCGATGACGGTTTTCATAGTTCTTCACAAAGAAGGTCATTTATCTGACAAAGAATTTGAGCAAATGAGACCAGTGGGCACGGCCATACCCAGAATGTACGGCCTCCCAAAAATTCAAAAACACGAGCCGCTCCTACGTTCAATCCTGGATATGAGGAATTCGCCCTATCACACCATAGCAAAGTGGCTAGTCGAAAGCTTAAACCGTTGAAAAGTCATATGTACCCCCTAAGTCTGAAGGACTCCTTCGAGTTTATCGAGGCGATCAAGGATATTAACGTTGACGGACGGCGGATGCTATCATTAGACGTAGCATCATTGTTTACTAGTGTACGCGCAGCCGAAACAATAAACTACCTTTGTGACGTTATCCGCGACACAAACTACCCTCTAGGCATGCCGTTGAAGACGCTAAAAGAACTACTGACACGGTGCACGCAAAACGTCCAGTCTCTCGGCAGTGGTCAAGTGTACAGACAAATAGACGGCGTAGCGATGGGCTCATCGCTCGGCTCGTTCATCGCAAACGTCTTCATGGGCAAAGTCGAGATGACACGGTTACAGACACCATTAATCACCTCAGCTTCTACGGTCGGTATGTGGACGATATTTTCTGCCTGACGGAGATTACCACTGACACAGACGCCCTGATTCAAAAATTCAACAATTCACACCCCTCGCTAACGTTCTCTGTAAAGTTCGAGGCAGAATATAAAAATCGCGTTCCTCGATGTTCTTCTGCACAGACAAGAGGATGGGTCTATCCAACGTAGGGTATTCAGAAAGAAAAACTGGACGGGACAATACATTAATTTTCACAGTTTTGTTCCCCTAAATATTAAACGCAATTTGGTCCAGGGATTGGCAGCCTGAGTGCGACGTATCTGCTCTCCCGAGACTGTTGAGGCAGAACTCCAGCAGTTGCGGGATATACTCCACGAAAACGGATACTCAGAAAGATTTATCCTTCGAAATATAGGGAGGCGCACTGCAAAGACCACCATGGCAGCTGCAGAAAAGAAGGGCTTATTTATATGACTTCCTTTTCAAGGGGACGCAGAAAGTGACCTAGTAAGAAGACGTCTGAAGACAGCGATCACAAGCGCTTTGCCGCGGCGAACTTGCATGTATGTTTCCCTAACTCTCCCCTCCTACGCTTGGGAGGTAAGGACCGACTCCCGTTGCAGGCCAAATCGATGTGTATTTACTCATTCACTTGCTCCTTTGGAGCGGGATACATTGGCCGTACAACGAGGCGCCTGGAAAAGAAAGTACGTGAACACATACCGGCCTGGCTAGGCAAAGGGGAAAAGCAATCGATCTCGAGTTCTATTCTCGCACATCTTTTCGATCAGAATCACCGAGTCGATGCAAAAGAAGCCTTTCAGGTTGTCTACCGGACACCAGCAAGCTTATTCAGAGGCCTACGCCAACGGGTGCTAGCTAAGGCCGAGGCAGTAGCTATACGGCTAGCCAATCCAGTGCTATGCTATCAGAAGACTCTGACGCAGGCGCTCTGTCTTCCGTGGCCAACGCCGACCCCAACGTCGCCCCAACCTCCTGATGGCAGGGTGTGTGCACAACGTACGCGACATATTCACAGCCTACGCCCCCCCTCTCCCTCGCCCCCTTGACCCAATGACCACGACAGGCCGAACACGCCATAACACACCTCGTCATGCGAGTGGCGTGAGAACGATGATTGGCGTGGGAAAGATGGATTTTATTTGTCCCTGAGGCCATGTAACTTCGCATAATTTAAACTTTTATGTAACCGTTTTGGCCTGATGAAGAGTTACCGAAAACACGTGTTTGCCAAATTGACTTTTCAATTGTAACATATAAATATTCGCTGAAAAAAAATTTGATTGTTATTAATTGGTTTGAAGTTTTTAGGAAAAAATAACCGCTGATCGCAAGCTGCCGACAGTCAAGAAGTGAGAGGTTGCACGGTATCGGATATTATTAGCCGCCAATCCTTTTATTAAGTTGCGGATGGTCCAAATAGAGGCGCCGAAGAACAGCTGTCGTTGTTGGCCAAAGAAATTGTCCCTGGTGAGACCGGCCATAGTGGTCAGATAACACAAACGCCATCGCTACGGTAAAGTCGATCAGTGGATTCAGCACGCAAAATGTGTGGGAGATTTTGTGAATGCACAAATTGAGTAATAGTTCTCTTAAATAAAGGATAATTTTTCAGAGTTTTCACATTCCTTGGTAGTTTATTCCAAATAGCAATTGCATTTACAGAAAAAAACCGACGATATTTAATGGTATGTGACAGAGGAAGAAATAAAAAGACCTTACGGTGACTGTTACGTCGGAGGTTTACAAGATGTCTTAAAGCAGTGAGTGGGTTAAAGGTACGATTATATAAAAGCTTAAATAATAAAAATAGTTCCATTTTATAATCTACGAAACCAAAAAGGATCAAGACCTGTAAGCCGGCAACGTTCTTGGTAAGACAATTTTCAGTGTTCCGGGGTTAAACTCTCTTGATAAAAAAGTGTTGAACGGATTCTATTTTTTTTCGCTCAGCGGCACGCATGAGGCTAAATAAAAACGAACAGCATTTCAAGCCAGGTCGGAAGTACATGTTATAAAGGCGCATTCTAATGTCCCTAGTTTTAAAGTTTCGAAGGATAAACCCGGTCGTTCTACGTGCTTTGGAGACTACCAAGGCACAGTGCTCCGCGAGATTGAGACTCTTGGAGTATGATACGCCCAGATCCTTAATAACCCCAGGCACATTTATGGCGCGACCTTCAATACTTAGTTAAGGTTGGCGGTCGTCGCCAACCACCATGACTGAGCACTTATGCCAAGAAAGAGAAAGGCGCCATGTGCGGCACCACTGGGCGAAAGCCTGTAAATCGCTCTTTAGGAGCTCATGCACGATGTCATGATCTGCCGGCTTATATCGATATGCAACTTTAAGATCATCGGCATACATGAAAGGCCTACCATTCTGAAATAAATCGGGTACATCATTAACGAAAAGGCAAAATAAAAGCGGGCCGAGTGCACGACCCTGAATGACTCCACTCCTCACACGTGTGGGGTTGGAGATGGTATTGGAAATCTTAACTCGTTGTGTGCGAGTGCCCAAATAGGAGGATATAAAATTCAAAAGTTTGCCACCTATTCCGAAAGAGGACAATTTCAAGAGAAGAAGAGCATTGTCAACACGGTCAAAAGGCTTAGTGAAATCGAAATATACTGTGTAAAGAGCAAAACCATGGTCCCTAGTTTGGAGAACATAGTCAAAGGAAGAGAGCTGACAGGTGTCGCCAGACCGAGCTTTGAGGAATTAATGTGGAGCATTACCCAGTAGATTATTCTCTGTTAAGTGACACACCATCTTATCTTTGATCAATTCCTCTAAGATCTTCGAAAATGCGGGGAGGGTGTTTATTGGCAGACAGTCATCAAATGACATAGATTGGCCATGCTTAGGAATGGGCAAAATGTGTGATTCCTTCCACAAGGTAGGATACGTTTCATTTTCAAGAGCAAGATTAAATATCTTGCATAAGAGAATTTAGAAAATCGTATTTGCACCGGTTTTTAAAATGCTTACTGGGACATCATCAGGTTCTGGACTATGAGATA